CAATCCCTCCAATGAATATTCAGGGTTGATTTCCTTTAGGATTCACTGGTTTGCTCTCCTTGCAGTCCAAGGAACTCTCAGGAGTCTTCTCTAGCACCACAGTTTGAAAACATCAGTTCTTCAGTGTCAGCCTTCTGTATGGTCCAACTCTTACATCCACACATAACTACTGGAAAAACCATAGCTTTGCCTATACTGACCTTTGTCGGCAAAGTGATGCCTTTGCTTTTTAATACACTCTCTAGGTTTGTCATAACTATCCTTCTAAGGAACAAGTGTCTTTAAATTTCGTGACTGCAGTCACTGTCCTCAGTGATTTTGGAGCCACCATTTCCACTTTCTCCCCATCTGTTTGCCATGAAGTGATGGGACCTGATGCCATGATCTTAATGTTTTGAATGTTGATTGTTAAGCCAGCTCTTTTACTTTCTTCTTTCACCTCCATCAAGAGGGTCTTTAGTTCTTCTTCACTTTCTGCCATTGGAGTGATAACATCTGCATATCTGAGGTCCTAGGTATTTCTCCCAGCGATCTTGATTCCAGCTTGGTATCCATCCAACCCAGCGTTTTGCACGATGTACTCTGCCTATAAGTTAAGTAGCAGGGTGACATTATACATCCTTTATATACTCATTTCCCAAATTTGAACCAGTCAGTTGTTCCATGTCTATTTCTAAGTGTTGCTTCTTGACCTGCAAACAGGTTTCTCAGGGGACAGGTGAAGTAGTCTGGTATTCTTTCAGAATTTTCCATAGTTTGTTGTGATCCACACAGCCAAAGGCTTTAGCCTAGTCAGTGAAGCAGAAATACATTTTTTTTGGAATTCCCTTGCATTTTCTGTGATCCAGCATATGTTGCCAGTTTGATCTCTGGTTTCTCTATCTTTTCTGAATCTAGCTTGTACATCTGGAAATTCTTGATTTATGTGCTGTTGAAGCCTAGCTTGAAGGATTTTGAGCATTGCTTTGCATGTGAAATGAGTGCAATTGTACAGTGATTTGAACATTTTGGGCATTTTCTTTCTTTGGGATTAGAATAAAAATTGATCTTTTCCTCTGGCCACTACTGAGTTTTCCAAATCTGCTGGTATATTGAGTGCAACACTTTTTAACAGCATCATATTTTAGGATTTGAAATAGCTCAGCTGAAATTTCATCACCTGAACTAGCTTTGTTCATAGTAATGCTTCCTAAGACCCACTTGACTTCACACTCCAGGATGCCTGGAGTGTGATCACATCATCATGGTTATCCAGGTCATTTAAAGACCTTTTTTGTATAGCTCTTCTGTTTATTTGTGCCACCTCTTCTTAATCTCTTCTGCTTCTGTTAGGTCCTTGCCTTTCTGTCCTTTATTGTGCCCATCTTTATATGAAATGTTCCCTTGCTATCTCTAATATTCTTGAAGAGATTTCTAGCCTTTCCCATTCTATTGTTTTCCTCTATTTCTTTGCATTGTTCACTTAAGGCTTCCTTATCTCTCCTTGCTATTCTCTGGAACTCTGCATTCAGTTGGGTATATCTTTCTCTTTCCCCTTTGCCTTTCACTTCTCTTCTATTTTCTGCTGTTTATAAGACCTCAACCAGTTTGCCTTCTTGCACTTCTTTTTCTTTGGGATGGTTTGGTCACCATGTCTTATATCTTGTTACAAACCTCCATCTATAGCTCTTCAGGCAATCTGTCTGTCAGATCTAACCCCTTGAGTTTCTTTGTCACCTCCATTGTATAATCATAAGGGGATTTGATTTAGGTCATACCTGAATGGTTTAGTGGTTTTTCCCTACTTTCTTCATTTTAAACCTGCATTGTGCAATAAGGAGCTCAGGATTGGAACCACAGACAGCTCCATGTCTTGTTTTTACTGAGTGTATAGAGTTTCTTCATCTTTAGCTGCAAAGAATATAATCAGTCTAATTTCAGTATTGACCATCTGGTGATGTCCATGTGTAGAGTCATCTCTTGTGTTGATGGAAGAGGGTGTTTGTTATGACCAGTGTTTTTTCTTGGCAAAACTCTGTTAGCCTTTGCCCTGCTTCATTTTATACTCCAAGGCCAAACTTACCTGTTATTCCAGGTATCTCTTGGCTTCCTCCTTTTGCATTCAAATCCCCTACAATGAAAAGGACATTTTTGGGGGGTGTTAGTTCTCAAAGGTCTTGTAGGTCTTTGTAGAACTATTCATCTTCGCTTCTTCAGCATTAGTATTAGGGGCATAGACTTGGATTACTGTGATGTTGAATGGTTTGCCTTGGTAACTAACAAAGATCATTCTGTCATTTTTGAGGTTGCACCCAAGTGCTGCATTTTGGATTCCTTTATTGACTATGAGGGCTACTTCATTTCTTCTAAGGGAATCTTGCCCACAGTAATAGATGATATGGTCATCTGAATTAAATTTGCCCATTCTGGTCCATCTCCTGCTTGACATGTCCAGTTTATCTTGATTTATGACCCTGACATTCCAGGTTCCTATGCAGTATTATTCTTTACAACATCAGACTTTACTTTCACCACCAAACACATCCACAACTAAGTGCCATTTCTGTTTTGGCCGAGCCTCTTCATCCTTTCTGGAGCTGTTTCTCTGCTCTTCCCCAGTAGCATATTGGACACCTGCCAACCTGGGGGGCTCATCTTCCTGTGTCATATCTTTTTGTCTTTTCATACTGCTCCCTGGATTCTCGAAGCAGGAACACCGAAGCAGTCTGCTGCTGCCTCCTCCAGTGGGCTGTGTTTTGTCAGAACTGTCTGCCATGACCTGTCCACCGTAGTTAGCCCTGCATGGATGTTGTGGCTCGTAGCTTCATTGAGTCAGACAAGGCTGTGATCCTTGTGATCATTTTTGTTAGCTCTTTGTGATGTGTTTTTTGTTCTGGAGGGTGTGGTATTGTAGCGCTTGATTCTTCTGGATAAGAGGCTTGTGCAGCCTTCCTGATGGGAGGGACTGTACATGGGGAAAACTAGGTCTTAACTCTGATAGGCCAGACAATGCTCATTAAATCTTTAATCCAGTGTTTGCTGGTGGGTGGGGCTGTCTGCCTCCCTGTTAGTTGTTTGGCCTGAGGCGCCCCAGTCCTGGAGTCTGACAGGCTCTGTGGTAAGGCTGAGGGCTACCTTCAGAAGCATCTGTGCCAGCATGCGCCTCCCAGGACTGCTGCTGCCACTGCCCCTGTCCCTGAGGCAGGCCGCTGCCCATGCAGGTCTCCTAATGGGGTCACTGCTCCTCTTCCCTGGGTCCTGGTGCGCACGTTGTTCTGTTTGTGCCCTATGAGCATCTCCGTTTTCACCAGTCCTGTGGAAGTTCTGTAATCAAATCCCGCTGTCTTCAAAGTTGGATTCCTGGGATTCCCATCCCTTTGCCGAATTCCCAGGTTGGGAAGTCTGATGTGGGTGGGGCCTAGATCCTTTGCAGTGGGAGAATTTCTTTGGTATTGTGGGTCTTCTGTCTGGGTCACCCACCCAGCAGGTATGGGGTTTGATTTTAACATGATTGCGCCCCTCCTACCATCTCGTTGCAGTTTCTCCTTTGTCCTTGGACATGGGGTATCATTTTTTTGATCCAAACGTCCTCGTGTCAGTGGTTGTTCAGCAGCTAGTTGTGATTTTGGTGTTCCCACAGATGAGTGCACATTTGGAAATCACCTTTCTTCTTTCTTTTTCAATGAATTTGACTACTCTAGGTACCTCATATAAATGGAGTCCTGCAGTACAATCACCCCCTCAATAGCCCTGGGGCATTGCTTCCATAACCCATACCACTACAGATGCCAAAATCCATAGAAGCTCAAGCCCCTTATATCAAATGGCACATTATTTGCATGTAACCTGTGCATCTCTGGATTACTTACAATACATACAGTGTCATTGCTGTGTAAGTCATAGCGAGTATGCAGCAAGTTCAAGTTTTGCTTTTTGGAACTTTCTGGAATTTTTTTTCCCTGAATATTTTCCATTCCCTGCTGGTTGGATCCACCGATGTGGAGCCTGCCAGGTATATAGAGTGCCAACTGTATTTGTCTTTGTGATTGGCTTATTTTACTTAGTACAGTGTCCTGAGATGCACCCCTCAGATGATTTTTTGTTTTTTTTTTTTCAATCTGTGCCTTGTCTTTTCAACCTCTTGTAATAGTCTTTAGCATAGCAGAATTTTTTAATTTTGATGATGCCCAATTTATCTGGTTTTTTTTCTTCTATGGATTATGCTTTTAGTATCATGTCTAAGAATTCTGATCATGAAAGTTTCATGGTTTTACATTTTTGCATTTAGATTTCTGATCCCTGTTTAGTTCATTTTTTGAGGTCTCGGTCAATATTGAATTTTTTGCCTATACATGTCCTTTTGTTTTTGGCCTTGAGCTCGCAGGGTATTATCTTGTGTTGCTTTTGATACTTTTGAATTTTCAGTAGTCGTAATATAAATAGGCAAACTTTTACAGCTGTTAAATGAAATATTTGACTTAAAAAATGTTTGAGAAGAATTTGTAAGGACATTAATTTTGTTGTATAAAGCTGACGAAAATCAATACATTTTTGAGCACTATATTTGTAGGTGTCTGAAGTATCTCTGATGAAACATATACTGGAAAGTTATAAGAGTGGTGCCTGTGGGTAGAGGGCTGGGTATGCAAAGTGGAGGGAAGTTATTCTCAATTTGTATTGTTTTGTATCTGCTCAATTTTTAAAGCTCCTAAGGCAACATACACAGTAACAAATTCTTGGAGGGAAAAATACACTAGTTTGATGAAAACTGATTGCCTTTCAGTAATTTCTTTAAACTGTTCTTTGTTTTCTAGGTTAATTTTATTACTGCCTGTAAAACTTGATGACAGTGGTTCTAAACCTTGAATTCCCTGTCAAAGTCACCTTGAAGTTCAACTTCTAAAATCAAGGAATAGAGTTTTAGCTGTGCTGTGTGTTGGACAAATATTCACGTTCTGAGATGATCCAAGTTAAATAAATTTTCTGTTGTTTGCTACATCATCTTTGCTTTTGTCTTTCAGTGCCAAACCCAAGTCAGAAATCCACGTATCAATGGCCACTCCAGTCACTGTGTCTATGGAGACCTTGTCCAGTCAAAATAGTGACCAGCCCACCATTGCAGTCCCACCCACCACTCAGCAGCCTCCACCAGCCATTCCAACTATGATTGCAGCAGCTAGCCCCCCGTCACAACCAGCAGTCGCCCTTCCGACCATTCCTGGAGCAGTTCCCATCACTCCACCCATCACTACCATTGCCGCCGCCCCTCCGCCATCAGCAGCTGTGGGTGGCAGTCTCTCTTCTGTTTTGGGCCCTCCTGTACCGGAGATAAAAGTTAAAGAGGAAGTGGAACCAATGGACATCATGAGACCAGTTTCTGGTACGTTCATTTGTAGGACACTCTTTGCTGGCAATTGCTTCTTCCCCTTTTCTTACTCTCCTCAAGAGTCCAAACTCCTGTATGACCCTCAGTCTGGAAGCCTGATTCCTAGATGCCCATTTGAAATTTCCATTTCATTAGTTTTTAATAAATAGAAAAAAGCATCCTTTTCAAAACTGAAACCATATTGCTGCCATTTTTGTAATTAATTTTATTTCTCACCCAAATCAATGAAAAGATTGTTTCCCCAAGAGTATCTTTAAACATAGCTTCTTATATTCATTAAGGAAGTATTACCACATAAAGAGGATCACAATGCTGTTGACTTAAAGAATAGTCATAATCTGAAAGTTGAGAGTTATGTTTTATTCAGCGGAAATTTTTAGGACTTTTAGCCTGGGAGACAGCATCTCAAGTGACCCTTAAAGAGCTGCTCTGAGGAGGCAGGGGGAGGAGTCAGGTTATATAGAAGTTTGCAACACGGGGCAGGTAGTCTGAATTTTGAAAATATTTTTGTGAATTGAAGAAAACCAGATATCTCAAGTTAAGGAATTTAGCGCTTTTCTGTGTGTAGAAAGATGAGAAAGTCTGGGCTCAATGAAATCATTCCTTTCATATGTATCTCAGCTTTCTGTGGCCGGGATCCTTCATTTTTCCTCAGTGCTTACCACCTGCCAAATCACAGGTATAGTTCTCCTTCCTGGTTATCTTGGAGAGCTAGATGAGTGTGACATCCTTGTTGATTCATATGGCAGGTAACACTCCATTTCTCAATGTGATTATAGCTAAGTGCTGATTAATTTATGATTTATTTCCTGCCAGTTTTTTTTTTTTTGCCTTGTGTATGCAGTAAAGTAAGATTTGCATTGTTAAAAATAGCCTCTTGATAAACATTATTTATGATTAGTAAAATCCCAGAAGTACCACTCTCCCTTTTTCTTTTCTTCTCAACTCTAAACTTCCAGTTTGTAAAAAAGCAGGTCACTTTAGAGATTTTCTTTCTGTTTGCTTGGAATTCTGGGCATTTGTTTTGTTTGTTGGATTTTTTGTTGTTTTGGGCATTTTTTCAGCTGTGATCCTTATTTAGACATACAAAATCTTTGTTGTGGCACTCAGGATCTTCACTGTTGCGTGTCAGATCTTTCATTGCAACACATGGCCTAGTTGCCCCACAACGTGTGGGGTCTTAGTTCCTTGCCAAGGGAACCAAACCCATGTCCCCTGCATTGGAAGGCAGGTTCTTAACCACTGGACTGCCAGGGAAGTCCCTGTTTTCTGTTTTTTCCATAATTTATTGTAGAGTCTTATTTTTCTTGACTATGAAAGTAGCATTCAGTGTATGAAATTTATATAAAACAGACAAAGCCAAAGTGAAAAGCAAGTCAGTTTTTGCCATAGTTACCTAGTATTACCCTCTACCATTTCGGCATGAAGGCCCCCACCTCCCATAACACACATTCAGTTAATAGGTGTGGTCATGCTGTGCCTACAGTTTGTAAATCTGTTGTGTATTTATTTGCTTATTTATTCCATTTATAATGTCATGAAACATCCTATATGGTAACACCCTATGATTCCTCAGCACTTCTGTTGAAAGATGCTATGGGTCACCCTGGAGGGGAAATGAAATGGTGTTCATCTGCTCTGTCATCCTTCTAGATAGTTCCTCTTGCCTTTCCATACTGGGAATCTGGTCCTAGTTCTTCCTCAAATTGTCGGGCTCGGCACCAGCCTTGGTTCTGTCAGGCTCTTCATCAGGCACTTTGTACAGATCATCCACATCTTCCATCTTCTTGGAGATTGCATTTTAGCAAGAGCGGTAATCAGTAAAATAAAGGACAAATGTAAGGGAAAGTCAGGGTTGGATGTGTGATTTTTTTTTTAAGAGTTTTAAAGGGAAAGCTTTACCGAGATTTTTGAATAGAGACATTAAAGAGGTTAAATGCTGGCCGTGAGAGTATCTGGAAAAAAGGCATTTCAGACTAAGAGAGCAGCACATGTAAAAGCCTAAGACAGGAACATGCCTCTTGCGCTCAACAAATGGCTCAGAGGCGCTGACAGACGGAGCTCAGTAAGCGAGGGGAGTAGGAGAGAAGGCCAGGGATGCGGGGTCAGGACTGAGAGCTGTGAGCTCTGTAAGCACTGTGACTTGCTGAGGGGCTGGGAGCTGTGCGAGGGCTCTGAGTAGAGGGGGGCCTTGGGCTCACTCTGTTTCTAGCAGATCGCTCTGGTTACCCTGCAGAAAAAAGACTGGGAGCGAGATTAGAATCAGGGAGATGTGTGTAGAGGCTACGGCTCTAACAGCAGGGAGCAGCGAAGGTCTCAGCCAAGGTAGTGGCAGCACCAGTGGTGCGACCTGGTGAACGCATAGATATATCACTGGAGAACTAAGAGAGCTGCTTTAAAGAGGGACATTGTGCGCGAGGAACAGCGTCGGGGGAACTGAAGGCTTGATCTTAGTAACCGGAAGCACAGACTTCCCAGGCGGCACAGTGGTAAAGAGTCCACATGCCACTGCAGGAGGCGCAAGAGATACCGGTTCGATCCCTGGGCCAGGAAAATCCCCTGGAATAGGACATGGCACCCCACTCCAGTGTTCCTGCTTGGAAAACCCCATGGTCAAAGGAGCTTAGCAGGCTGCAGTCGTGGAGTCTTGAAAAGAGTCAGACATGACTGAGCGACCAAGTACAAACACAGAACTAGAGACCCTCGTCTTCAGTACAGCAGGGGGCCTCCGTTGTGTAGGGAGAGATTAGAAGTGAGTTTTTGCCCTGGTGAGTTTGAGTTAGACTTTCTAGTGGACATCAAGTAGTCTGATCTATAAGCCTAGCTTTTGGAAGAAAAATAAGTTGCAAGTGTAAATTGGGGAGTTGCCATTGTATGTATGAATTGTGTTTGAAGCCACGAGCCTGGCTGGATAGTGGATAGGATCCTCTGAAGAATGAGTGCTGATAAGAAACAGAAGTGGCTGGAAATGAGCCCTGGGGCACTGCAGCATTTTGAGAAAGGAGGGGAGTCCGGAACCACTGTCCGCCTGAATGGACAGGTGGGAGTGATAGGAATAAAACGTGGAGTGTGTGATGTCCTGGAAAGCCAGGACAAGGGTCACAGCTGCTGAGAGATGGAGTACAGTGAGGACTGAGCAGCGACCATTGGGTGTAACAACATGAAGGTCATGCAGATCTTGAGAGGAGCAGTTGCCATGTAATCATAACGGGCCACGGTGGGGTGTGGGTTCAGGAGAAAGCTGGGAGATAACTGTGAGAGACATTGAGTATAAACAGCATTTGAGGGACTTGTTATAAAGCACTAGAAAAAGGAAGGACAATACCTGAAGGGAAATGATGCCAAGAGAGTTTTCTTTTTGGCCACACTGGGTCTTCGTTGCTGCACATGGGCTTCCTCTGGTTGCTGTTCTTTGTCATGGTGCACAGACTTCTCATTGTGGTTTCTCTTGTGGAGCACGGGCTCTAAGCATGTGTGCCTCAGTAGTTGTGGCATGTGGGATTTTCCGACACCAGGGATCGAATTCATGTCCCCTGCACTGGCAGGTGGATTCTTAACTACTGGACCACCAGGGAAGTCCCGAAAGTTATTTTTAAGACGGGACAAATGAGTTTTATATGTTCGTAGTTGGAGAGTTGGGTTTAACCTGTGGTACTTTTTGTTTAGTGAGTGCAGCATAGCATGAGAAGAGACAGTAAGTGAATAAATAAAATTGATAGGAGAGCTAAAACCCAGTGATAGGAGTGAGAAGATATTAGAGGAATGAATGACAGCAAAAAACTACTATGATTAATGGAAAATAGTTCTTAATGGTGTATAAGAATTGTTGGAGGTGAGTTGCTAAGAGAAGTGACCTGGAAAGAGAGTTGCTTTTGACTGGAAAGTCAGATGTTAGAAATTGAGATTTGATGACGGAGTTAAGGCTATGACTGTTGGGAATGGATGGCTGAGGAATGGTAGAAGGAAAGGATGGACCAAGGGTACAGTAGAAGAGTTGAGGTGAACTTTTATCATGAATCCAAGTCACCAGATATATGATCCATACAAGCCCAGACAAATGTTGTTGACTTTGTATTTAGAATGCTCTTTATCTGGAGGCACTGGACTGACTGTGCTCTGAAACCAGACTGCCTCTGTCAGTGCCCAGCTCTCCGTCTTTCTCTTTGTGTAATGTATGCCACATTTTCTCATCTTTAAATTAAGGGATAATATTGTCTACTTACTCAGATTATTTTTTAAGATTATATGAGCTAATGGGTTATTTCCTAGAAACTACTGCTGAAAGACTTGAAAAATACTGGCTTGAACATGTAAGTTTTTATTGTTTCCCTTGAAGTGAATCCTGAAGCAGACAGTCCAGGCATGATATGTGGATTCCATAAAATCTTTAGGGATCCAGACTTCTACCACCCCTAGCATTTGACCCTAATACTCTTGATTCAAGATAGCTGCTGGAACTCCAGCTATCCCATCTGAGTTCCAGGGTCACAGGAAGAAGACATGGAGTGGGTAAAGCAGTCTTCATTTTAAGGAAACTTCTTAAAATTTCTGCAGAGCACTAGGATTTTCATTTCAAATAGCCATACCATACTGTAAGGGAAGCTAGTAAATATGGTCTTTCAGCTGAGCGGTAGTGTGCCCATTTCAGGGTGAGGGGAACTTGTACTAAGGGAGATGAAGATGTGAGGTGTCAGAGAGCAGTGGGCAACCTCTGCCACAGTTAGAGTGCTTTAGCACCATCCTGAGCACGTCTAAATGTTAGCTCTCTTTTCTGTCTGTGTTAACTTTCTCTGGTGGCGATCAGCTGACAGTGTCCACCGTGTTTGGGTTCTCAAACATGTGCAACTTGTTTCCTATGACAGCAGTTCCTCCTCTGGCTACCAACACTGTGTCTCCGTCTCTGGCATTGCTGGCTAACAACCTGTCCATGCCTACAAGTGACTTACCCCCTGGTGCTTCGCCAAGGAAAAAGCCTCGGAAGCAGCAGCACGTGATTTCAACAGAAGAAGGGGACATGATGGAGACCAACAGCACTGACGACGAGAAGTCCACTGCCAAGAGCCTTCTGGTGAAGGCAGAGAAGCGCAAGTCTCCTCCCAAGGAGTATATTGGTAATGCTCACTTGAGTTAGCTTTTGTCACAGAAAGCTTCCCTGAGGCTGTTTACAAAAGCTGGATTTCACTTACAGCTCATCTGCAGAAATTGTACCAGCAATATTGTTGCAAATATATAGTAAGCTATATAATGTTTTCTTTTTCTTTTTGTTTAAATAGATGAAGAAGGTGTAAGGTATGTCCCAGTGCGTCCAAGACCTCCCATTACTTTGCTCCGTCACTATCGGAACCCCTGGAAAGCTGCTTACCACCACTTTCAGCGGTACAGTGATGTCCGGGTCAAAGGTCAGTTTTGCCAGAAATGGTTAGTGTTGACTCATGCAGTTAGTCTTTCACTCAGCTGTGTTAAAGTCACAGTAGAATGAAAAGACAGAATCACAGTTTTCCAGCTTCAAAAAGAATCCCGTCAGTTTTGTTATGAATCTCAAGACTTTATTGTTTACTCTTAATCATAATATACAGTTGAGCATAAAATTTGGAGAATTATCCTTTGCCTTAGAAAGCTATATGTACTTTACTGGAAACACAGTCTAATGAATAAGTGACTGCCTATGTTGCCAGCTCCCCAAGTAGTGACAGATGACCTCCTTAGCCCCTAAAGTAGTTGAAGAGGAGTTATACTAGATTGTTACAGGACATAGACCACAGTAGTCCCAGGATGCTCAGATGTTTATTCAGCATAAGCCCTAGAAAGTATATTTTCCAAAAGACCTTTTGTTTAACATATGTGAAACAAAAGATCTTTTGTTCAGCATTTGTTCAAACATATGTGGGATGGTCTAGCGTAAACACAGTAAATGTTTTTGTGATTGTTGAACTTGAGAATAACATTCTAATAAGCCCACTTATAGTGAAAATGACTGATAGCAGTTTGCTTGAATCTGCAAATATTTCTATGGATAGACTTCAAGTGTTATTAATCTCAAATATAGTCATTGTGTAGAGAAGTGTGAGTTTTCAGAGAATTGGCCACATTTCCCATTCCCTCAAATAAATTGTATTTGGAAGCTTCTCCGAGGGTTCCCTTGAAGCCTCAAGATGAGTCCAAGTTAGATGGTGTGGACTAAAGCCTTTGAGCAGGAGTGAAGATCCTGACAGTTCAGTCTCTGAATGGAAGCACAGAGATGGCTGCACTGCCCAGCTTTTCTTCCTCATGAGTGTACCCTGAGTTTAGAAAAGAGGGTGAGACTTCCAAAGAGAAATGAGAGAATGTTTTCCTTTGGTGAAAGTAGGATACAAGCCACCAAACATTTCTTCACACCACAGGATTCCATATTATAGCAGGAAAATATTTACAGTTTCCATAATAACATTTTGAACCATTAAAGAAAATACTTACTGCTTATTGGAATTCACTCTTCATAAGCTATCTCAAGAAAGGTAATTTGACAGCTGAAAATATTGATGATTCCTAAATCTTCTGTTCAAATATGTATGTATTAATCACTTTGTGCCAAGTCTCTTGACTGTTAAACTTTAATTGAACTGTTTTGCCTAAGCTCTAAAATCATATTCATAGAAACAAGTAAAGACAGAGTACGGAAAACAGGTAATTCACTTGAAAAGAAAAAAGAAATGGCAAGAAGCACAGGAAACAAAGAAAACAAATAACCTGGCAGACTTAGCCTTACATATCAGTAATTATCTTAAGTGTAAATAATCTAATATATCAGTTAAGACACAGATTGGCAGAGAGAATGAAAAAAATATCCAGCTGTATTCTGTCTGTAAGAAACTTCAGATACAGTGTATCAGTAGAGTGACAGTAAAAGGATGGAAGACCAAACATTGCAGTAATTAATTTTAAAAAAGAGTGGTTATATTAATATCAAATAAAATAGACTTCAGAGGAAAGAAAATTACCAGAAATGAAGAAAGGCATTACATACTGATTTTAAAAATAGTCAACAAAAACCAAGAACTTCAGAAATATGAGGCAGAAACAGCTGAAAGAAATAGTAGGCAAATATGTAGCTATAGGTAGAACTTCAACATACTCGTCTCAGCAATTGATAGAAGCACTTGATAGAGAATCAGCAAAAATATGCAAGAAGTGAATACCACAAACCAACATTTAATAGACATTTACAGGACACTTGAACTGCAGCAGAATACATATTCTCTCAAGATGCACATAGACCTTATTTAGGATCATAAACCTCAACAATTTGGGGAGAATTGAAATCATGTAGAGTATCTTCATTGGCCATGATAGACTCAAACTAGAAACCAGTGACAGATATCAGAAAAACTTCCAACCCATGGAAATTAAACATGGGGGTGGCCATGGCTCGCTATAGGGACAAAGATACTGGCGGCAGCAGTTCTGAGGACCACTCATTGGTATGAGCCCTCCCAGAGGCTGCCACTAGCTCCACCCAGCTCCTCCAGGCTCCAGTGCTGGAGTGCCTCAAGCCAAATAACCAGCAGGACAGGAACACAGCGCCCCCCCCCCACCCCCATCAGCTCATGCTTGTGCTAAGTCACTTCAGTCCTGTCTGACTCTCTGATCTGGTAGAGTATAGCTCTCCAAGCACTTCTGTCCATGGGATTCTCAAGGCAAGAATGCTGAATTTGGTTGCCGTTTCCTACTCCAGAGGATCTTCCTGACCCAGGAGTGAAACCTGCCTCTCTTGCATCTTCTGCATTGGCAGGGGGGTTCTTTACCACTAGTGCCATCCAGCAGACAGCTTAAGTCTTCCAGAGCACAGCCCTGACCACCAGAGGGACAGGACCCAGCTCCACCCTCCCCTGGGCAGGAGGGGGAGTCCCTCCCATTAGGAAGTCGGCACAATCCTCTTAGACAGCCTCATCCACCAGAGAGTGATAGCAGAAGTAGCAGCTACAGTACTGCAGCCTGCAGAATGGAAACCACAGTCACAGGAAGCTAAACAAAATGAGACAGCAGAGGAACGTGTCCCCCATGAAGGAACAAGATAGAACCCCGGAAGAACAGCTAAGTGAAGTGAAGATAGGCAGCCTACCAGGAAAAGAGTTTGAAATAATGATAGTGAAGAAGATCCAGCACGGAAAAAATATAGAGGCGTAGATCAAGAAGATACAACAAATGTTTTACAAAGACCTAGAAGAGCTAAAGAACAAAGATGAGCAACACAGTAACTAAAATGAAAACTATCCTAGAAGGAATCAATGGCAGAATAACTGAAGCAGGAAAACATTTGCGTGATCTAGAAGGCAGAATGGTGGAAATCACTGCCATAAAACAGAATAAAGAAAAAAGAATGAAAAGAAATTAAAACGGTCTGAGAGACCTCTGAGACAACATTAAATGTACCAACATTCACATTACAGGGGTCCCAGAAGAGAGAGAGAAAGAACCTGAGAAAATACTTAAAGACATAAGAGCTGAGAACTTCCCTAACATGGGAAGGGAAACAGTCACCCAACTCCAGAAAGCACAGAGTCCCAGGCAGGAAAAACCCAAGGAGGAACACACCAAGACACATAGTAACTTTTGTCAAAAAGACAAAAATAAAACATTAAAAGCAACAAAGGGAAAACAACAGATAACATACATGGGAATTCCCATAAGGTTATCAGCTGATTTCTTAGCATAAACTTTGCAGGCCAGAAGGGAATGGTGCAATAATACAATAAATTTAAAGTGATGGAAGGAAAGAACCTACAACCAAGAATACTCTACCCAGCAAGGCTGTCATTCAGATTCAAAAGAGAAATCAAAAGCTTTACAGACAAGTAAAAGCTGACAAAGTTCAGCACCACGAGACCAGCTTTGCAACGAATTCTAAAGGAACTTCTCTTAAGTGGAGAAGACCACAACTAGGAACAAGAAAATTGCCAATGGGAAAGCTCACTGGTAAAGGCAGGAAGTCGTATCCACACAAACACGGTATCACAGCCAGCAGTTGTGAGGAGACCACAGATGCAGGATATTGGGAATGCATTTGAAATTTAAAACCAAAAGCTTATTAACAATCTCGTCTATGTACAGACTGCTGTATCAAAACCTCATGGTAACCACAAACAAAGTTGACAGTAGATACACACTTAGGAGAGGAATCCAAACACAACACTAAAGTTAGTCATCAAATGACAGGAGAACAAAAGAAGACCTATGAAGAAAAAAGACCTATGAAAACAATCCAGAGCAGTAAAATGGCAGTAAGAACATACCTATCAATGATTGCCTTAAACGTAAATGGATTAAATGCTTCAACCAAAAGACATAGACTGGTGAATGGACACAAAAACAAGGCCCGTAAGCACGCTGTCTGTAAGAGAACCACTTCGGATCTAGGGACACATACAGACTGAAAGTGAGAGAATGGGAAAAGGTATTCTGTGCAAATGGAAATCAGAAGAAAGCTGGAGTGGCAGTACTCGTACTCATACCAGGCAAAACAGACTCACAGGAGACAAAGGACACTGCATAATGGTCAAAGGGTCAACCCAAGAAGGTGTAACAATTGTAAATAATGTACACACCCAACACAGGAACACCTCAACATATGAGGCAAACACTAACGGCCATAAAGGGAGAGATGGGCAGTAACACAGTAGCAGTGGGAGACTTTCATCAGTGGACAGATCATCCAGACAAAATCAGTAAGGAAACACAGCATTAGAAATACTAATAAAGACACATGCTGTCGAGGATGCAGAGAAGCTAAATTTCTCGCGCATGCCTTTGAGCATCTTGATTGTTACCCCCTGCCTTCTAGACTCCATTGTTTCTCTTGAGAAGCCAGCTGCTGGTTTTAATGGGATTATATTGTAAGTGATACAGCGTTTTACCTTGCTCCTTTGAAGATATTTTCAGCTTTGACTTCCAACATTTTTACTATGATATGTCTATCTGTACCTTTGCATTTATCCTCTTTGGAGTTAGCCTTGAGCTCCCTGATACATACGTTACTGTTTTTCAGTAACTGTGGGAAATCTTTAGTCGCTCATTTTTTGACTATTTCTTCTCCTTTGTCTCTTTTCCTTTTGGTACTCCATTATACATGCATTGGTGCTCTTAATGGCGTACAATTTCTGTCTCTCTGTTGATACTCTCTTTAATGTGACATGATTATCATCCTTTCTTTTACTTCTTCACTCATACTTTCTTTTCATTCTGTGAATTTATTCATAATGGCTACTTTGAAATCTTTTTCTGTTAAATCTGACATCTGGTCACTCTGTCAAGCATTTTCTGGTGCCTATTTCTTTTTCCCCCCTGTGTGGGTCATACTTCCCAGCTTGTTTGAATGCTTCATAATTTGTGTTGGGAACTGGACATTTTAGATAATGTAGCAATT